CCCTTCTGGCCTCTGCGTCCTCGCTGCCCCTGTGAGAAGCGCCTCCTTTGCCCTCCACACAAGTTGCTGCAGGAGCTGCCGCATCTCCGGTCGCCGCGGGGTGTCGGCGGTGGGGCTGGCGCGGACGTCGGCAGCGCGGCTCTTGTGCCGCAGAGCAGTGCTAACGTTGACGCAGGCCGGCGGGGTCGCGATGAAGGCCGCGTCCGCCTTGCCGAGGCGCCGCCAGACGCAAAAGTGTTTCCGCATGTCCGCCGCGAGGCACTTCGCCACCGCCGTCACCGCACGGAGAGCCACTTCACTCTGTGTGTGTCGCTCTGTGTGTACAGACGTCTGCGCAGAGCCCGCGCCTCCCGCCTCTTGTGCTGAGGACGCGGCACACAACACGAGAGGGAGGGAGAGGAAAAAAAGAAAAAAAGGGGAAGCGAGAGAGAGACAGCCCCAAACAATATTGAACAAAAAAAAACAAGAACGCACTTGAAAACATGTGACCTGTTATACTTGTTTTTGCTTTGAGGGGAGAGTGGGAGTTGACGGACCCCTTTCCCCGCCCGATGTCTTTTCCATTGCCGTCTGCCACGTTGCGTGGAAAGGCCCCACGCACTCCCACGACACCGCCGTGGCGTTCCCTCGCGGAGTCGAGGACAGTCATCACGTGAGCAGCGATTAACAATTCATCTCTTATACGGAATTTCCTTCATCATTCACTGCACACACACACACACACTCTCTCTTTCTCTCACGCACTCATGTCCCAAGTATTAAATGTTAGTTTTACGCTCTGCTTCTTTCTTTCTTTCCTTCTTCTTTTTTCCGTTCTCTCTCTCTCTCTCTCTCGCTCTCTTCTTTGCCTGCCACCCACCGACACCTTCACGGCGGCGAGGGCAGCTGCCGACCGCCCCGCACACTACTCGAAGCTGTGCTCCAGCACATCCCGCAGTACCGCGGCGTCGGGGGTCACCCGCACGCACGCCGTCCCCACCCTCGGCCGCTCGCCCACCATAATGGCGGAGCTGATCGACTGCAGCTCGTCGCTCAGCCCCCGGCTCACGGCGGTGTGCAGCCACCGCCGCGACGACGCAAACGTCATCTGGAAGAGCGGGCTCGCACTCTGCGAGATGACGCCGGTGAAGTTGAAGTTCTCCCACATGCCGCGGTGCGTGGCGGCGTCGGCGATGAGCGTCAGGTGGCGGTGGTCGACGGAGTACCGCTTGAACAGCTTCGAGAGCTCGTCGTAGAGGGCGCGGTAGGCCGACTCGACGCCAAGCCAGTTCGCCATGTCGCGAATGTCCGTGGAGCGGGCCTGCCGCAGCTTGATCGCCCGCGCGCCCAAATTAAAAAGCGAGACGAACGACAAGACGTGGCGCATCGTCGCGTTGGCGCCCTGAAAGAGCAGCTCACCGCTCGTCGCGTCATCGGCTTTGCGGGTGAAGGTGACAGCGGCGAACTGCGGCAGCCACGAGGGCAGCGTCTGCTGCTCCAGCGCGCCGTCCACGACGTCGGGAATGACGGCGATGATGTGCGGCGGCATGCGCACGACGACGTTCACCACGAAAAGGTCATCGGGAAGGGCCGCAACCCCGTCGCGCTCCGCGGCAAGCCGGCTCAGCGGCGCCACGTCAAGCACAAACTCTTTGCCGCCGAGCGCGGCATGCAGCGGGGCGAAGCTGTCGTAGCTGACTGCCCCCTGTGCGGCGGCGCTACTCCGCATACCGCCGCCGTCCTCCTCCTCCTCGTCCTCGACGTCCTCATCCGCCTCGGGTGCACGGCGTTTGCGGCCGTGCTGACCGCGCAGCGACCGCCCTGCCGCGTCGCCCCTTCCCGTCGTCCCCTCCTCTGCGTTTCCGGCGGCCTCGTCGTCGTCGTCGTCGCCCTCCTCCTCGTTGTCCTCGTCGTCGTTGCCATTCTCGAATGCGTCTGGCGCATCGGTGCCGCTGCGTTGGCTGCGGTGCGCCGGTGACACCCCACCAACGGCAGCGCTGTTCGTGGCGTCGCTAGCATACTCACTGAGGGCCTCGTCCTTGTCTAGGCCGCAGCCGCCTTCGCTGCCGTCGTTATCCTCGCTGTCAGCGGCGGCAGCGGCAGCGGCAGCGTCCATGGGGTCATGCTGGTTGGAAACCATCGCTGCGGCATCACCGCCGTCCTTTTCCTCCCGCGTGCGGCCGCTCAGCGACTTGATAATGCGCTTCGCGAACTGCCGCAGCGCCTCCGTGAAGGACTGCAGGTGTTCACTCGGCGACATGCACATGCGCGCCCGGCTGTCGTCCAGGCGCGAGTGTGAAAAGAGCATGGCAAGCGTCACCACGGACGCCTCTTTGCCTCGTGCCACGTGGTAGTGATACCCCTTGCCGCCCGCCCCGCCCCGCGCAAGACAGTCCCGCAGCCGTATCGCCAGACCGGCACGCAGTATGCGTGCAATGGCAGCCTCGTCAGCCGGCGTCGCCTTCTCTACGGGCACAATCACGGCAGCTTTCTGAACGGCAGCGTGAATAAGCAGCTCACGGAGACGCGGAATACCCTCCGTCACGTGCGTCACCGTTGAGCCAGCGCTGTGGAATGTGTTGAGGGTCATTTGCGTGGAGGGTTCACCGGCGGCCTGTGCCGCAAGAAGACCGACAGGCTCGCCAGGGTCGCAGAAGGCCCGGACGCGTCTGCTAGTGGCAAGCTCTGAGAGAACGTCGCGGTAGTACGCAATATTCTCGCCACGCTTTTCCGCGAGCTTCTCCTGCACCCGTCCCTGCGCCCTCCATCGCGCCAACTGCGAGACGCGTTGGAATAGCGGAAATGTCGCCTTGGTGCGCAGGTAGTCCTCAAGGCTGTCATGCATATGGCGCGGGAGTGGATTCTCACGTAACTGCTGCTCCCTGTGCAACTGCCGCGCCTGCTCGTGGTTGTGGTTGCTATTACGATTACTGTGCCGGGTGTGCTCATCCCCGTCGTTGTCGTCGTCGTCGTCGTCGTCGTCGTCGTCAAGGTTGCTGTTGTTACTATTATTAATGTTATTAGTGTTTTTGTTACTCCGCCTGCTGGGGAGGTTGGGACTCGTGCGTGGGCGTTTGCCGCGCTGCACTCTTGTCGCCGTCCCCGCCTCGTCGCCCGGCCCCGCTTCGCCCGTGTCGACGCCAAACCGCTTGCCGAAGTCCGTGAGGTTCTCCTTCGCCATCTCCCATGAGGTGAGGGTGGAGGCCTTGCACGGGTCAAGGCCATCCCCGCCGTACGTAAACTGCACAATGCTGCCGTTGGAGTCACGCACGGAGTGGTCCCAGTGCACCACAAGGCTCTCGAGGCCTTTGATGAGGCAGCGCTGCAGATGTCCCGAGCGGGAAGTCTTGACCGCCGTGTCGATGAGGCCGTCGCGGCCGGCCATGGCGTGGATCGTGTACTCGGGTGGTCGAATGCCGGAGGCAAAGCGCCCAATTGCGTAGCCGAACGAGCGGGCCCGGCGTTCGTGGGCGAAAAAGGCAGGCAACGTCTTGGCCGAATTCATCCGCCTCACACGTCGTCCGTCGAAGAGTTGCTGGCCGAGGCCAAGCGCCATCTGGGTTGCGTTGGCGTTGCTTCCCTTGGCGCCGGAGGTGGTCATCATAAGCAGGTGGTTGCGGGGAAAGGGCACCATCATGCGGCCCGGGATAAACTCCTGCTGCAGCTTCGTGGCGCACTCCATGATCTTCGTCATGGCCGCCGCCTCATCGTCGGGAAGGTGCAGCGGGGCCTCGTCCAGCTGCCGCAGCAGCTGGTAGCGACGCTCCTCGTGAACCAGGAACATGTCATCCATGCCAATTGAAAACCCTTCGCGCTGGAGGCTTTGCGAGAGAATGCGTCCCAAAGCCCCAAACAGCTGCCCCACCTTGTGTGGTCCGTACAACTCATGCACAACGTGAGCAATGGACATGCTGGAGGCACCAAGTTGCTTCTTACACATGAGGCCCATCAACAGCTCGCTATTCATAAAGAGCAATGCGTCATCGTCCATCGTTTGCCGCGTCACCGTCTGCACGACCGCGCACCCCGGGAGCGTGTGATTATAAACGCTCGGTTGAATGAGCGAGGTTCCCCGCAGGCAAGCCCCTCCATCGTTGACGCGCATCCACGTCGGTCGGCGCCCCACCCCGCTCACGTAGCGAATGACGACGGAAATCAACTGTTTCCCTGTCCACAGCGGTCGCGGTCGCAGAATCGCGGGCACGGGAATGAGATCCGACAGAGTGACGTCGTGCTGCTGCCGCAGGTAGGGCGCTAGTCCATAGTAGGCCAGCTGAACAAAGGTCGCGTGCTCGAGGAACTTGTCACGTAGCGTTAGCATGACACCAGCCGCAACGTGGTCCTGGATAAGCCCACGAATCGGCTTCCCTGAGGTGGGGACAAGGTAGTTGAGGTTGGCGTCCATCAGGCCATCCAATTCCGCCTTGGCCTCGAGGCTCTGCGGGACGTGAATGTTCATCTCATCACCGTCAAAGTCGGCGTTAAAGGAGCTGCCGTTCACGTAGTGGAAGCGCAGTGTCTTGTGCCCAGAGAGCACCTTGACGCGGTACCCCATCATGCTTGCCTTGTGCAGCGTCGGCTGACGGTTAAACACCACCCGGTCCCCGTCCAAGATGTGCCGGTAGACAATCAGCGTGACACCGCTTTGCGCCAGGGCAAAATACTTGGCCGCGTGCTGCCGCCGGGTTTGCTCAGGCACGTCCAGCTCAATAAACCGAATTTCTCCATTCGTGTGTCGCAGTTCCAGATGGGTGGCGCCGGGGTAGCGGCGTGGTCCATTGATGACGCACCGCTTAAGCAGGCTCATACGGGCAGGGGCGTAGCACGTCACCTGTTCAGGGAAGGAGAGACTTCGGGCAAAGGGGCGGGGCAGCAGGACTTCGTTAGGTTCCACCAGCAAATCCGGGGAGATGACAGAGCGGCAGGCCTGATTTACGCGTTTCCCCATCATGTGCATGCGAAACAAACCCTCCTTCTTGGCGAAGGTGCCCATGATGTCCTGGTACACCTCGTTCACCTTCGCCTGCAGGTTGCGGAGGTTGACCTCGTTCGCAACCTCCTGGGCGGTGCTGACAAGGCTGCGGTCCGGGGTGGAGTTGTCCCGCAGCACCTGGTAGCACTCAATCTGCTCCACAAAGCCGAGGATGTCGGAGAGGGCGCGCGTCTGCGCGTCGGGGGAGATGGCGCCGCTGTCCTGCACCTGCACCCCGGAGGAGAGGCGCAGCGGCAGCGGCGGGACGAGGATGCGGTCGATGAAGAAGGCCTTGTACATCTCCCGCGCCGGGAGCGGGGTGGCGTGCGCGGTGCTCACGGAGGGCTCCCCGAGGTGCGGAAACAGCATGCCGAGGAGGAGCTCCTCGCAGTGGCAAAGTTGCCGCAGATGCTCGCGGATGTCTTGGCTGCGGAAGTACGTCCGCGTTCTCCCGTGCAGCTTGTTGTTCTCCTCCCACTCCCGCAACTGGGCCTGGGAAAGGAGCGCGTTCGCCACGTTCACCGTCGCACTGTTCCTTGTGAAGAAAAAGAAAAAGTGCCCGTTTTGCTTCGTGATGCGTGGAGAGATGCCGTTGCAGTGCGAGCAAACGCCCACGTACTCCTTCAGCTCCCGCAGCGCCTGCCGAACAATGCCGTTGCGTACATCAATTGCCCCTCGTCGGGCGGTGGCCTCGTGCGACGCGGGCTCCTTCTCCGAGGCAGACGCGGGGGCGCAGCGCTGCAGAATGCGTTCCGTGTGCTCTTCCAGCAGCGTGACGTCGTTGACGACCTCCTCGTTCGCAGTGTGCAGCCGCCGGTGACGCATGTCGTAGCCCCGCGCGTTGCTGACGACGTCCAGCAGGTGCAGCGCCTCCCCAATAAGTCCGCGGTCGATCAGCCGCAGCGCCTGGCGGTAGCGCTCCACGTCGAAGAGGGGGGCACGAAACCTGTGGCAGAAGAAGCACTTCGCCTGCAGCAGCTGCTCAACCTCCTGCACCAGGTGCGGGTTCATCACAAACAGGCGGACCTCGCGCTGCAGCGCGTCGCCTGGGTGCAGGCGCGGCATGCCGATAAACCCAAAGTGACCCTGGCAGCGCTCGTTGCCGTACTTCCCCGTGAGGCTTGCGGCGCACGTCTGGCAGGAGTGTGGTGGAAATGTGCGCACGTCAAAGTTGCCCATTCGCAGGTCGTAAAAGGTGGCGTGTTCCTCGCCGTTTCGCGTCACTGGCCGCCATGGAGCGGTCTTCTCCTCCTGCCCGCACCGCGTGCGCACCTCAACGAAAGCCATGCGTGCCATGTCGTCCGGCGTGAGCAGCGAGAGGGAGACGGCGACCTTCTCCGGCATCACGCGGCGTGTCTTGAGGTCGCCGACATACGCGTGGAACGGAAAGGCAGTGATGAGTGACATGGCGCGCCCCCGCAAGCGAAGCCCTATTCCACCGCCGCCGTCGCTGATGGTCCGCCACTACTGTCGCCCCGGCTGCTCCCCTCGCAACGACTTCCACCGCCGCCGTGCCGCTGTCTGGATGAGCGAGAAGTTCACTACCGACGCCCGCACAATCCCACGCAGCGCGGTGCCGTAGATTCACTTGTCTGTTTGTGTGTGTGTGTGTGTGTGTGTTGTGTTCGCCGCTCCCTTCCCTGTCGTTGCTTTTCCCGTTTGTTTGTGGGGAAGGGGAGGGGAAGTTTGTGTGTGGGTGCGACTTGTCCGCAGGCAGGCAACCGACGGAGCGAAGCCGGCCAGACGAAAAAAAAAAATGATTGCAGGGGGGCGGAGGCAAAAGAGAAGGAGAATAGCGGTTGCATGCGGAGCACGTTGGCAGCAACCCCAACTGGGCACGTACGCGCACACAGACACGGGAAAAGGCGTGTCGGCACCAACGCGTGATGCTCAAGAAGAAACGCAGGAGCAGCGTGCGCCGCAAAAACACACACACACACGCAATGCGACAGGCAAATATACACATTGTACAAATCGCTGTGTGTAAGTATGTGTGTGTGTGTGTAGTGTGGCGTACGAATGCCTCATGAAGCACTTCATTGCACCTTCGCGTTTCCTTCTCTCTCACGTTCCATCTCATCTTGCACCTCCGCATTCTTTGGGTCGGTTGCAAAGACGTCTCAGTCGTTTCTACCACCCACGCGTCCCACTCCCCACTCCCCCCCCAACTACGTCCCACAAACGTACATACCGTACAGCCTCACAAATTCGATATAGCAACGGAGTGAGAAGGTATATACATATGAGTGTGTGTGTGTGTATATATATATAGAGAGAGAGAGGGAGGGAGAACCCACGCAGGCACACACACACGCATTGGCAGATACATACGTATCCACGCAAACGTCCCAACTCCCCACCCACCCAGCTGCTCACCGTGTGCATCGGGGGAGGGGTGAAAAGGGCGACCCCGCAGAAGCAGACGGCGTGGCGATGGGGGCGCACCGGGCTCCACCTCCTCGTCCCCACTCCAGTCCCGTCATTGATGTCGTCATTCGTTCAGTAACTAAGCAACCAGCACCGGATAACCCAACAGAAACACAGAAAAAAAAACACGATCCCGTCTTTTGCAGTAATAATTAAAAATTAAATTTTAATAATAAAAAAAAGAACAGAAAACAAAAACAAAACTAAAATGTTCGTGCCAAACTTCCTGGCAACTTGCCGCGATTCCTCACTTTGTTGTTGTCCCTCCTCTCACTGGCAGCCTCTCCCCCTCGCTCCCTCCCCTGCTCCTCCTACCGCACGGCACCTTTTTTTTTTTTTCGTTTCCCTTCCCCCGGCCCCCGTCTATCAAAATACTACACCCGCCTTTTTTTTTACCTTCGCCTTTGCGCGTGCAGGCGTGTGTTTGTCTGCTTGTGCTTGTGTTTGCGCGCACCGCCGACGGCCCTCATCGTCTGCGGTTGTTGTTTGCTCATCACTTCACCCGCCGTGGGGTCCCCCCATGCCGCCCGCGCGCGTGCTCCTCCAGCACCGCCCAGCCGGGGTACTTGTAGCCGCCGAGCGCCTTCTCGAGCGCAATCGCCACCCCGATGCCGAGCTCGTCGTTGAGCTCGCGCGAGACGATCTGCACCCCCTTCGGCAGGTGATAGTCCGGCGGCAGCCGCCGCTCCCGCACGTCGGCGGGGGTCACGGAGGTTCGGCTGCCTTGTAAGTCCGGCGTCCAGATCGGCACGGCCGTCGCCGGCATCTGCAGCACGTTGAATGCGGCGGTGTACTGAAACTCAAGCGGGGCCATCAGCGGCAGGTGGTGGCGCGGGGCGGGACGTGGAAACGTCGGCGCCAGAATTACCCCGTCGTCGCGCAGCAGCGACTCCAGCGCCCGCTTAAAGGCGGCAATGTCGCTCCGCGGGGAGGACAACCGCATCTTGCTCGGGAAACTCTGGTCAAGGAACTCAATCACGCAGAGAGCCAGCGCGGGCAGGGTGTGCTGCGAGCGGCCAACGAACCACAGCAGCAGCTCCCAAAGGGCGTTGAAGCTTAGGTTGCCCTCGCCCATCAGGGCGGTAAACCTGTTCTCGGTGGGGTCCGACGAGAGGGCGCTGATCCACATGGCAAAAACATCCGCAAAAGGCCTGAACTCGACCGGGATCTCCCCACCCGTGCAGCGGCTTCGGTCGCGCAGGTTGACGTACACCACCTTGGCCCCGTACTGCTGTTCCAGACACTGCGCCGCCAGCCGCACCGCCGCCAGCTGCGACCACGAAGTGCGAACACCGGTGATGCCAAAGTCCTCCAGCGCAAAGACGCGGAGTGGTTTGCCCTTTTCAATCTCAGGAATCTCACCGAGTGGCGGTCGTGGCGGGTATATTTTCGGGTCCTCAAGAAACCCGCCGCGGGCGGCCACGTGGCAAAGCGGGGCAATGTCCTCCGCAAAGCGGCAAATAGGACCCGTGGCCATGTAATGGTTTGCCGCCGTCTTGGGCGACGGATGCTGCCCACGGTTAGAGATGTAGTGCGGGCTTGACTTTTGGCCAAAGACGCCGTTAAAGAAGGCCGGCATACGTATGGAGCCACCAATGTCACTTCCAAGGCTAAAGGTTGAAAAGACTGCCCCAGCGGCGGCGCCCTCGCCTCCGCTGCTTCCACCCACCAGACAACGCGTATCGTACGGGTTACACGAGATGCCGTACACGTGGTTTGAGCTCTCATACCACATGCAGAGCTCACTTGTGTTGGTAACCCCAAGAATGATGGCGCCAGCGTCACGAAAGTTCTTTACCACGGGACTATCGCGTTTGGCGATGATGTGGCGCCGGTGCGGGTGACCGCTGGTGTTTGGGCAGCCCACCACCGCCATGCACTCCTTGATGGTACACGGCACCCCAAGCAGCCAACTCGGCGCCGGTCTCGAGCGGTTGGCGCGCCACGCCGACCAGACGGCGTCTGCCTTCACCGCCGCCTCAATGGCATCATCAAAGCACTCAAATACCATGAGGTTAAGGTAGGGATTGACACGCTTGATGTGCTCAATATACGTCCGCACCACATCCTCACAGCTCAACTCACCCGCACTGTAGGCGTTGCTGAGCTGCACTGCTGAAAGCTGCTGACAATACGCAATGGGCACATCTGGCACTTGACGTGAGGTGCGCGGGCCGGCCATAAGATACAGTCCAAAGGCCTTGTTCGCCAAATAAGCGTAGCCTACCAACAAGGCCGTACCGGCAAGGCTTCCGCAGAACCACCACACCAAAGACAGCAGAACAAGAGCAAAAATAAGTGATAGTCGCATCATGATTGCACACTGCTCTCTGCTTTCTCTTCTTCCTTTGGTTTTATTGTATATATATATATATATACCTGTTTGTATGAAGAACTTCTTTTACTGCTTCCCTGGAAATAACTGTTCACGGCAGCACACGCACGCACACAGTGACCGATAAATAAAAGAGGAGGAAAAAAGAAAAAAAAGCGGAAAAGCAAAAAAAAAGAAGGGATACACCTACGCAAACGCAGGCATGCTGTTGTATGCCTGCGTGGCACGAGGCTTGGCGGGACTGGGAGGGGGCCACACACGCAACTGGGGAAGGGTGAGGAAAGAGGAAAGAGGCAGAAAACGTCCCCACCTCCCCCCGCCGCTGCTGCCGCCGCCGCCGCCGCCGCCACGGGGACACGTGCAGCAGCGGGGAATGGGAGTAGCGGAGAGAAGAGAGGCGTCCAACCGAGACAAAAGCGCTGCGACGCCGCCGCCATATGCCCTCCACGCCACTCGCACCACAACAACGTCCATCTCCTCCGTCGTTCCCACCCACTCCACGCCATACCGCCTTTATCGTCAAATTCATTACTTCTTTGTTTTCTTAGTTTTTGCCTTCTGGGTTGTGTTTCCTCTTTATTTTTCTTTTTGCTTTTGTTTTTTTTATGTTTTTTTTTCTTCTGTTTGTGCGTGCGCGTGTCTGTTGCTCGAATTTCGTTTTTCTTCCCCACCGCCCCTCCACCTGGCGAGTTTCCACCAGCAGCGCCCGAGGTGGCCTGCCGGCCGCAAGGCGGAGCGTCACCGGAGGCGCACGACACGACCGCACTCCCTCGCACGCCAGACGCCGCCCCAACGAAGAGCGCCTCAGGCCTCCGCGTAGGCGATCGGCTCGCAGCCCGGCAGCCGCCGGTGCAGCGCCGTGACGTGCCTCCACGGAACCGCCAGCAGACTGAGTGACCGCCAACTCATCTCCCCGTCGGCGTAGCGGCGCTGCTCCACGGCGTTCTGCAGCAGCAGGTCTCCAAGTCCCATGTAGGCGATGAGCGTCCCGACGATAACGCGACGGTCCGCCAGCTCCACGCGCAGCTCACGGCCGAGAAAAGGGTGCGGCGCCGCCGCCGCCTCCTTCGCCGGCTCCGCCGCCTTTTGGCTGCCGCCCCGCTGGAGTGGGCGCTCCTGCCGCTGCGCGGCCTCCACCTTCCCCTTGGCGCTCTTGTTCTTACCGGCCTTGCCGCTCGCCATATTGACTCCCCTAGCCCCTACCCTGCGAGAACTATTCGCAATAGTGTTGCAACGGCTATTCACGTGAACACAACAAAAACCGAAAAACAAAAAGAAATAAATAAACAAGGAGCAGTAAACCCCGCAAGGGAATTACCTCGAGCTACGCCGTGTGGTGAGACAACAAAGGGATAAGAGAAGGAGGCAGAGAAGCTCAAATGTAGGAGGCAATAGCATGTTCTTGTTTTCCTTCCGTTCCTTCTTTTTTTTCCTTTTTTTTTCTTCTCTTTCTCTCTCTTACTGTGTGTGTATGTATTAGAGCAAGAAAAAAAAAACAAAGCTCAATACAACATTGAACGTCAGAGCCAATACGCACATATGCATATGTATATATATATATATATAGCTACATCAGTATATAAGCCTACGGCTGCAACTTCACCCTCGGAGGGCTGACTGCATTGCCAGGCGGGCGGGGAGGAAGGACTGGGAGTGGGGAGTGGGAGTGGGGCGGTGGGTGAGTGCATAGAGCTGAAACAAAACACCACCAACTTATCATCGCATTTAATTATTTACTGTTTCTTCTTCCGCATGGTCTCTCGTGGCTACTTCCCACTGCTGCCGTGGAGAAAAGAAGCTAGATCCAGCTACACGTGCCCTCGGCCCCACACCCTTCGATCACCCTCACAGTGGACGTGGGCAGAGACGGATATTGTGGTGGACAGAAAAGTCCGTGCCCCTCGTCCCTCACACCAGCAACAGTGCGTCGCCGGCGGTGAGGCAAACGTGGACGGCGCCAGGCGCCAGTGCCGCAGACGACCATTCACACACCCACACACATGCAGCTGCACGCATTATACCAAGCAAGAATGGTAGCACAAGGCCAAAGTTCAAGTCAGGCATGTCGATCCCTGCACTCGAGTAGGAAGAACCCACCGAAGAAAACAAAAAAGAAAAAAAAGAAAAAAAAGTGAAGGACCACATAGATGTGAAGCGCGTCTCCTCCGTATTGTGCGAGTAGGTATCGTTCCCCCCTCCCCTCTCCCATGGATACACGTGCAGGGCTTGCGGAGCAAAAGCCAGAGCACCACCGGCAACAGGCAGAAAGCATGGGCGAGTGCCAAATGCACGGCGCCGCCCCGTTGCACCGACCCCGTCCTCTACCGGGCCTTTCTGCCCACAAATGAGGCAGCACACAGAATAGTGGAAAACACACACAGTCAGGCGCAAGGAGTTAGGACACGGCAATGAATACACATACAGGCTACAGTTAGAGAGAGAGAGAGGAGGGAGTGGGTGGAAGGGGACTTGCTGGTTTCTGCGGCGGGGGCGACAAAGCCCATCTCACTTCCTTCGCTTCTTCGCACGGATCGCGTCCTTCTGCCACATCAACGTGTTCTGGAGCCAGTGAAGCCCCTCACTAACGCCCTTCCCCTTCAACGCGTTGGAGGCGAAGATGTTGAACGGTCGATCTCCCATGAGTGTCGTGAGTTCGAGGAGATCCACCAACTCTGCGGGGGTCTTGGCATTCGGCAGATCCATCTTGTTTGCATAAAACAGAAATGGAATCTTCACCCCGTCCTTCCCGGGCAACTCCCGCGCAATGTCCGGGTGCTGTAGCATCAACTCAATCTCCTCCTTCGCCACACACAGCCGGAGCTCGTCGGCGCTGTCCACGACGAAGATGACGCCGTTGATGCTCTCATAGTAGCTCTCCCACAGGCCGCGGAACTTCTTCGCCCCGCCCATGTCAAACACGGTGAACTTCACGTCCTCCCTCTCCAACACCTCTACGCTGTAGCCCACCGTGGCGGTGATGTGCTCGCTCTGAACCGAGGCAGGCTTGAGCTGGTTGATGATCGAAGTCTTGCCGCTGTTGTCAAGGCCACATGTAATGATGTTCAGTTTAGTTTTGCTTTGCCCCATCGTTACTCTTCCCTACCCCCACCTTCTCTGTTTGTGCTTATCGTTTCGTCCTATGCTCCCTGTGTGTGCGTTTGCCCCGCTCCTACAGTGCACCGTGGCGATTCCCAGCCCCACCTGCACACACGCGCAAACACACAGAAGGAGAGGGATGGCGCGGGAGAAGCAGTTTCCCACGAAGAAGCGCATCCGCAGCGGCAAGACTTACTAGCAGCACACGCACGCACTCTAACACGCGCGTGCCCGCCCCAGTTCGGTCGTTCCTGCACTCGCAGACGTCCCTTACACTGTAGCGTCGTCTGCGCCGCCCATTGTCGCTCTTTTTGGTGGCATGGGCGGAGGAAGAGAAGGATGGACGTTATGGCCCTGTCCCCATGCAAGAAAAATAAAAAACGCACACACACACACACACACACACACACACCCGCAGACATAAATTTATATATATATATATATGTACTTATATATTTACCTCGGTGCAAAATAACACACTCAGGCTCGCTAGTGGATGCACAGACATACACCGCGGTGCGCCTACCCACACACGCCCACATCCGTTATATCTGTAATGTATGCGCATGTCTTGCATGCACGTATTCGCATTGAGGATGCCCAACGCAGCAGTTGCATGAAAAAAAAAGAGGAGGAGTAGGAGGAAAAGAAGAAGAAGAAGGAAAGCAAAATAAAAAAAAACAAGAAATTCGGCGGCTCACTACTTCAAAACACTCACTCACGCACACATACAGATGCGGTCGCCCTTGAAAGCGACGCTGAATACGAGCACAGCGAAAGGGGAATTCAAAATTGCTTGTTTGCTTTTTTTTTAAATAAAAAAATAATAATAATGATAATATAATATAAAGGTGAAAAGATGGGAGCTAAAAATAGAGAAAAAGAAAAGAAAAGAGAGAATATGACGTCTCACACAAAAGGAGTTGTGTGTGTGTTCCTCTCAAAGGCAAAAATCAACCGCAGGTTGACGTTTGCGTCACTTCGCCGCTCCCCGCCTCACGCAGACCCCCCAACGCACGGCAGCTCCGTCTCCGCGGGGCGCAGGAGACCCGGGACTACGTTTTCTGAGCGCACCCGCTTTAGGAATGGCAGCGCCGTCTCGGTAGCAAACACAGGTGCGTTTTCTCCCAGGGAGCTCTCCTTGCTAGGTTGGGGGGTCGCATTCTCCGCATTGGGGGAGGTTCTATCAACAGCTAGACTCAAGGCGTTGTAGTGCACTGGAGAAAGGTATGAGAGAAACACATCGATGGGCTCCGAGAGTTCCTCAAATACATAGACAGTCTGGTCATCCTCTAGTCCGGGACGAGTCAGGTCTACATCGGCGGCGCCACTGGCATCAGATTCAAGGGAAAGCGTCGATCCGGGGGCCGCTTGACGCGCCGCATCGCATGTGCCTGAGGCTTCAGCTCCACTGGAGTTGCCTTGCCGTGGCGAAAACAGCACGGAAGCTGACTCCGTTCGTGGAAAATCGTCCGGATTAGTCGCAGAAACAAGGTTATGAAAAGGGGATGTTGCTCCCAATTGTGGTGCTACGTCTGCAGACTTCCCTGGAAGGGTGGAAAAGGGCAGAAGCAAAGTAATGTATTGCTCACCTGAATATTCCACCTTTTCTGCTCCAACCGCACAAAACCTGGCGATTTCCTGAGAGACGGTCCGCCAGTGGGATTGTTGAACATTCCCACCCGTGGAACTGCCCTCACAGCCTCTGTGAGCAGAACTAGGGCCCGCAGCTCCGTCCACGGCACTGCTATTAGCGGAGTCCCCAATTGGTGCCACTGCTGGGGGCTCCATTGCTACAAAAGAGGAGCTCCCACTGTTTGCGGGAACGTCCACCTTTGGCGTTGCGGCGGCTCTAAGGGGTGTTTTGGCCAATTTGCGCTGCAGACGACGCTGCAACGCGCATGCGTCCACGAGACACACCCCATCCTCGTCTCCATCTTCACCGCCCTTCGTATTATTTTTTGGTGCAACTGAATCAAGCGTCGTGAAGACAGGCGTCAGCCCCGGCGTGGGGTTGCTGCCATCCGAAGAACCTCCCGCTTCATTAGTCGGTCCGCCTCCACCGCCTTTTCTGCGTTTCCCTTCGCCTTCTCGTATATTTGATGCATGTGTCAAGGGACTTGGAGAGCCATTGCCTCGGCGATGCCGCTGCTGCCGAATGGTGGCGACATCCACTAGGAAAACGGGCGCGTGAGAGTCGGGACCAGGGCGGTATGTAATGTAAAAGTTCTGCTCCTCCGAGGACAAAAGATGAATGTTTACGTGCAGACTGTCACTTGCCGCGCGAAGGGTGAGTTCATCACCCCATATTCCATCCTTTAGCATCGACTTGTAGTACTCGTCCGCCTCCTCCTTACTTGCGAAGTAGCAGTCAAAGCGGTCTCGCACGCCTTTCATGTAGGTGACTATGTGCGCGCGGACAAGCTCGTGAAGATCCTCGGAGCCCAACAGCTGGTGCGCCAGTGCGCGAAATTGGCAGTTGCCATCATTCTTGAGGGGGTGCTCTACAAGCTTGAGATCATCCAGGCGCTGCCGCAGACGCTGCAAGCCGCAATTAATAAACTGCTCCCGCGACAGCTTCGGCATTTCTGCCTTTTTGGATGCATCATTGGCGTTGCCCTTGGATGCCTTGCGCTTCCCCTCCTTTTCCTTCACAAAAATGGGCTCGTTGTTGCTGCTGCCACTGCCACTGCCGCGTCCTTTATTATCGCGGCGTAAAAGCCCGGACCACCATCGTTTCTCGCTCTTGCTATTTGCAGGGGAGGGTTCCGAGAGAGACGCCCCCTCTTGCTGCCTCGTCTCGACGGCCTCCCGCGCGTGCAGGGATTCAGGCGGTATTGTTTGGCTCAGATCCCCCACTGACATCGGGCGAACGCTGGAGGGGGAAGACGTCTCGCACTTGCCGGACACCTTCGGCTTATCCCCGTCTGTGGAGTGCGGCTGCGCCGGTTCAGGGTTATTTGTATCCTCGTTGGACGCCACAGCGGAAATGGCCCCGGAGTTTGGGGATGCAGTCCGCTGCGTAGAGGCCTGATCCTTGACGGCAGCCTTCACGGCCTCCTCTGCCTCCTCTGCGTTGCCGCCAGACCCGCCGTAGAGTTTTCTAAACATGGAGGCTGTCAAGATACGCGAGTCCCTCGCCGCAAAGGGGGCGACGGACACAACCGGAGTGAAGGCGTACTTGCGGGAGTCCAGATTTGAGTCCGCGGCGGGTCCATCCCCTCCCAACTCCAGGTCGTTCAATTTCGTGCAGAAGGTGAGCGTGGAGCGTTGCGCCGACGACAACGCGGCCTGCCCCGCCTTCTCTTCTCCGCTGGTATCAATTGCCGCTGAGCCGTTGTTGGACTCCTTCTGGTGCGACTGGGGGCCGACTCCCGGGATGACGCCCTGAATGGCAATGAAGTGCAACGGCGACTCTGCACGCCGCTCTATGGAGTTACACGGAGGCTCCGTCGTCAGAGAGGGCCGCTCCCCTTCCTCTTGCGAGACCGGCTGTAGGGCGGCAGCCGCCTTTGTGGTGGGTTCAGCGGAGAAGCAACCGCCCATGTAAACACCCACCCCCGCGGTAACGCAGAGAGGCGCACACACACACACACACACGCACACACGCCTGCTCGGTCGCTCCCTCGCACAGGAAGCAGACGCACCAACGGCCTCGTCTTGCGATCCGTCCTTGATGTGGTTAACTTAACTGCAAATGATTTCCCCCCTTTTTCTTTGTCTTTTTGTTTGTGTTTTAATTATTTTTTTTTTACTTCTGATGTTTCTTTTCTCCGTTTTTTATTTTCGGTTTTACGAGGCGGCAAACGTTAGTTCCTTCAATCCCGTCCTCTGTTGTGCGAGGAAGAAACAGTCAGAGTGAAAAAAGTGCGAGAAACGGTGCCGGCAGACACACGGACAGGGCGCCAGGCAATGGGCGGGGAAGGCCCCACGGGGCCACCCGCACGCTCTCTTCCTCTTTCGTTCTCTCTCTCTCTCCGGCCCCTCGCTTTGCTGTCGCTGCCGTCTTTTCTTTTTTGTTTCTTCTTTTTTTTTTATTGTTGTGTGTTTGCGCCTCAGCTTGACAGTTACTTTTCTCAAGGTGTTGCGTTGGGTGGTTATATAATCAACTCCTCCACTTGTTTACTTCGTTTCGGGGGGGAAGGGGGGAAGGGGGCGTTCTCTTTTTTGTTTTTTGTTTACGGCGGCCGCCGCCCGCATCCGCACCAACCCGTTTGCTCCGTGGGCTGCGTGCATTTTATTCGTGATTCCTCCCGCGGCTTGTCGCGTGCGCGTGCGGGGGAGGCGCGGCGGCGCGGCGGCACGCCTGCGGACTACTCCGTCGCGTTGTCGTCGCGAAGCCACTCCTCCTCAAAGGCGTGCGTGATGGCGCTGCAGACGGCCGCCGCGGACATGCCCCTGTCGCTGATGCGGATGCTCTTCACTTCTCCTTTCGGGGCGTACGGCGCGTCGACGTCGCCCTTCGACATGCCGCCAACGATAAACGCAAACGGATGAAACTGGCGCGCCTCGGCAGCCTCGCTGTGGCGCTGCGCAAAGTGTGCGGGGGCGGCGTCATGCGTCTTCGTGGTCCCGTCATCGGCGGCGCCGCATGCGGCGCAAAAGGCGTAGAGGTCCGGGACCGCGTCGCCGTCCTTCTCCACGCGGTACAAAGTGCAGTTTGGCGGGATGTGATCTGTGACGGGGTTCCGCACAACCCGCAGCAGCGAGAGATGCCCGTGCGCCGCCCGCACCTTCATCTTGTACAGGCACGCCACCATCATCTTCTCAAAGAGCCGGATGTGCCGCGGCACACGCAGGCGTGGGTCCACGGCGATAACAACGCCCTTCTTTGTGCGCAGAAACACCTGCAGGAGACCGGCGCGGTTGAGTGGGCAGTCCAGCAGGTGCAGCAGCGTCTGATGCACAACGTCGGGGCGCCACTCGGCAGGGTCCTGCCTGTTGCGTGCGTGGTACTGCCGGTGCTTCTCCGACAGCAGCTCGAAGCCGTACTCCGTGCGCACCACGGAGAGGGGGCAGTGCTCGAGAATGACGATGACGCGTCGCCACCGCGACTTCTCTTCGGCCGACTTTGGCAGCCGCGCGGACTTCTGCCGGTACTCCATCTTCCCACCGCTACTACGGCCCCCACCTGCACAACGACGCGCTGGTCGGCGCGGGAGGCTCCCCGCTGCGTCTTGGCTGAGTTGGTTCGGGGGGCAGGCACCCACCGCGTGCGAGGTGCAGTGGGCGGTTCACCACAAAAAGCTCTCGGCGCGGCCCCAGCAGCAGCAACAACTGCAACCGCGGCGATGGCGGCGCAGAAAAAAAAAGGGGAGGGAAGAAAAAGGAAGAAAGAGGGAAGGAAAAGCAATAACAGTAATAATGAGGGGGGAGGAGGAAAAGAAGAGACGCGTTGGCGGCGGCGCGCCCCCCAGCAGCAGCAGCGGCAGCGGCGGCGGCGGCGGGAGAAAAAAAAAGGGGGGTGGACGGAGAAGCACACGCCGTACACGACACTACACACGAACACACACGGACAGACACACCCTCGCGCCGCCTGCGCCCGCCTGCGCCCCTCGCAACAGGCGCGCTCTACCGGTCCACCTGGAACGTCTCCTTCTCCCTGCCTTTGAAGCAGAGCAAAATCTCATTCACCGCGTCCCCGCGCAGCGTGTCGCGCACGAACGTGGCCTCCGCCAAAAACCCGACCATCCCGAGCGCCCCGGCGACGACGCCGCAGATGACGTTCGAGTACCACAGCCGCTCCCGCAGTGGCCCCTCCGGCAGCTCCACGAAGAGCGCCAGGGGATTCTCGGCAAACTTGATGGCGAAGGCGTCCGTGCCCGCCTCCCGCGCCGGCTCTACGGTCGCCGTGACGTTAAGGAACATGCGCAGCCCGACCAGCGCCACACCGTCCGCCGCCTGCGCAAAAGTGCGGCAGGCGGGAGCCCCACTGCGCACGCTGTACTCCTCAATCAGCCGCGACCCAATCCGGCGCCCCATCGCGTCCAACTGCTGGTTGACCGCCTCCACATCCTCCTCCTGCGCCAGATCGGCCACCATCTGCTGCACCAAGGCGCCGTAAGTAATCGCGAAGAACTCGGCACTCACCTTGTCTCCCCTCTCGAATGCCTTTTCCCCCTCATTCGAGGAAGTTGGCGCGCGTGCGGGTGTTTTTTTCATGGATTATATTTATATGCTGTTGCCGAGCCTCCGCCGTGCGTGGCTGCCCTCCCTTTTTTGCTTCTTTTGTTTCTCAGTGCAGCTTCCACCACCGCGAGGCAGAGACGGGGAAGACAACACACGCTGCTTGCTCGCCCCCGCGCTAAGCGACTAACCCCTCCACACGACACACACCCACACAGGTCATTAAAACCAACAATAAAAACAAGGGCAAAAAAAATAATAATAATAGTAATAATAATAATAATAATTCGCAAACAGAAACAGAAAAAGACACAAGCGGCGTAGTTAAGCAGTTTGCATCCAGCTGTGCATCCGCATCCGTTGCACACAGCCGCACGGTGTCTGTCATTGCACATGCATGCATACATACATACACACATGTATGTGTAAGTGTATATATTATGCCCGTTGGTGCGTGTCCAACTCCTTCAGCTCCCTTCTGAGCTCAGACCACGGCCACAGTGACGCCTGTCGTGTGGCCAGGCACTCTCCTTTACATCCCACACTCCAGGCGAAACCAAAGAAAAAAGAAAAAGAAAGAAAAAAAAAACAGAGCCAAGTGGGGTGGTTCCTCACTTACTTCTTTTCCCCTTCTTTTTCTTTGAGGCGGTTTGCGCCTTCTGAAACTTCACGCGGGCCATGTAGGCACGAAAACAAACCTGGATGGTTCGCGTGTTTTGATTCAATGCCTCCTGCATATCCTCGTAGTGTTTGTCTCGCATCGACTCAATGAATTTCTCTAGTTCATACTCGTTCTTTTCCGTGCGTAGTACGTTGAGCTCCTCATCAAGCGCAACTATTGCCTCGGTGTCCTCCTCCGCCTCCTTGTTGAGGGCCGCCGTGGCAGCATGCAGCGTGGACATCTGCAAGTCGTACTCCGTGATTGCGGCACTCACGGCGGCCTCCTTCTTGGCTCGCTGGGTTCGCAGCGTGTTCGACTCCTCCTGGTTTCGTGCTACCAACTCCCCCAGCGTCTCCTCGTGTTTGACGGCTAGCTGCTTGACCTCCTCCAAGTGACTCACATCCTGCGCCTGGCGCTCCTCCTGCAGCTGCTGATTCACCTCCAGGAAGGCTGCCAGTTCCATGGCGACAACGCTGCGGGTGTACTCAATTTCCTCCTCTATCTGCTGAATCTCGACGTCCAGGGCCGCCACCTCTGCCCTGTGCAACTCCTTTGTTTCCTGGTACTCCCGCTTCAGCGCCTTGACGTCCGCCGAAGCCGTCTTTTCCTTGTTCACCGCCTCGTGCAGAATCCGATAGTTGCGCACGTCCTCGTTCACGGTGGTACTATTACGTGCCGCGACGAGTGCGGCCAGCGCCTCCACGACGTGCTGCAGGGCCGACACGCCGGGGTCCAGCAGCTGCGTCAGCGCGGGATCATCCTTCATGATGAACGCATTGGCCTGTCGCTCCTGGATCTCCCGCACCATCGCCACATACTCGTTCTCCCGCAGGGTGTCCACGACGGCGCGAAAGAGCATGTGGTGCCGCTGCAGCTCCGCCTCCTCCACGCTGCCCACCACCGTCGCCGCCTCCAACATCTCCTTCTCAAGCTCCGCGAGACCCGCCATCTGCAGCAGCGCCTCGTTGCCGTTGACGTCGGTTGGGTCGCCGTAGCGCTCGGCGACGCCGTAGATGAGCTGCGCCGCACGTACGTCATCGTCCTCGTCCTCCTCGCCGCCCTCCTCCGCGCCGCTGCAAAGTTGGGTTCGAACGGTTTCGAGGCACACCTTCCGCGTCCACGGGCTCAGGTCTACCGGCAAGAGTGAGGCGACCTCCAGGTCCCGCAGGAGGTCCTGCAGCACGTACGCGATCTTCTCGGCCTGGCGCCGCGTCAGCGCGTCCATGTCCATTTTTTTTATTTATTTTTCCCCCCTACACCCTCGCCTGGTAAGTTCCCCTCGCTTTCCTGTGAAACTCCACCCGCGTCCCTGCTGCGGTCGCGGTGCACGCGCCAACGTGCGTGTCGTAGTGGCGTGCGGACTCCGCTTCGAGCTAAGCAAAGGCGTGGGAAAAGCAGAAAGCCACACATGGGCCCGGCAGGGAGACTGGCAAGGTGCACGCAACACGAGGTGCGGGCCCAGGCGCAGGGGGGAGGGGATGCACATGCATGCAGACAGGGAGCGAGAGAGAGGGAGCAAAAGAGAGAAAGTGCGACATGCGCAGACGTTGCCTGCCTGCAGCCACACAGACACGCGCACACCTCCAGGTATGAAGACGCACAACCGCACACACACACACAGACATGTGTATATGTATATATAAGTGTATAAGTAGTATGTGTGTGTGTGTGTGCAGGCATCGGAGGCGTAATTCGCATTTGCGCCCTTGCCGAGAGAAAGCAGGTCCCAGGGATAAGAAAAGGAAAAGAAGAAACCCACAGGGAAAAACAGGGGAAGCAGGAGGGCAGAGGGCAAACAAGTTCGGTGAAAACAAGGATAAAAAAAAAACAAGGCAAACGAAAAAAAAAACAACACACACACACACTCATAGTCCTTACTGGTGGAAGCAGTACCGGCGGTGCGGGGGGGCGGGGCGGAGGTAACGCCTGGCAGAAAGGGGGAAAGAACAACCGAAACACAAAACAAAAGCAAAAGAAAAAAACAACAGCAGCAACGAAGACAACCAAAAGAACAGAGTGAAGTGGCGCTGTTAACAAGCTGGCAGCGAGGAGGGAAAGTGAGGAGAGGGGGCACAGGAGGCCCGGAAGCAAAAAAAAAAAAAGGATGGTCCACACACACACACACACACATACACACACACAGCAAGAGAGAGAGACATGCAGGCAAAGTGACACGCATAAGTATAATGAAGGGCTGCAAGTCTCCTCTTTCTATACGCCTCCCTTCCTCGCCCCCCCTCCCACACGCACACGGACACAGAGGTGCCGCACTTCTGAGGCGTACCGCCGCACCGCCACTTGCGCGGATGACTGCGCGGCAAGTGAAGCCAAGCAAAAACGTCGCAGAGGAGAAAGCAAAGGATTGCGCAGGACGAGGCGGAAGGCACCGACAAAAAAAATGGACAAAAAGAAAAAAAAGAAAAAGGGACTCAGCAAAACCAGCTGGTGAAGGGTGCAAGCAGAATGAGAAAGACACAATAAATAAACCAAAAGAACAAAAAAAGGACCGGATAATGTGTATTTCAGCCTTTCCGCAGGTGCACCACACCCCCTGCTTCATCGCGCGCCTGAGTTCTTCTGTCAGTCCACCAAAGAAGAAACAGACCTCCACGCCAGCGTACGTGCACGTCCGTGCAAGTGTGTGCAGCACAGCGCAGATAGAATCCCTTTCTAGTTTTGCCCCCACGCCCGTGTTATTTGTCCCCCAGACACCAGCTCCCCTCACTGCCATCTCCGTCTGCACGCGTCGCCAGCGCCACTGCACGTTTACACATTCTCCACGTACACCCTCCTCTGCTTCACTCAAGCAATTCTTCAGATATAAATATATATGTATATAGTTCAGAAATACCCACCCACCCCTCCTCCTCTCTCCTCTTTGCCCTCTCTCCTTGCTCGTTCGCCTGTTTTCTTCGTTTTGCTCCCTTGCCTCCATACCGTTTCATCCTTGGATTCTTTTGTTTGTCTTTTGTGTGCCTTTGAGTTCCACTTCTACGTTTTTACAAAATTTTCGTTTTTATTTAATTTTCTTACTATTCTTTTTTTGTTTGTTTGTTTGTTTGTTTGTGACGCGTGTTCCTCTGCTTTTTTTCTCTTTGATTTCTTACCGCGTCTCTCGCCTCCCTCGTCGCCCTCTACTCTACCTGCCCCCTTCGCTCGCACCACCCCCCCCCCCCCGATGCACGTCCGCCACGACCTCTATTCTCTCCCTCCCCCCCTTTCGCCGCCTCGCGTTACCTCCTTTAGTTGTCGCCGTCCCCGCTCACTCCCTGCGCTCCGCCCACCCCCCACCAGCGCCGCCTGAGGCATCCCGGGGCCTCGCCGCCCGCTTCATTTGGCGCACGACCACCTCTTCGTTTTCTTTCGTTCTTTTTTTTTGTTTCTTTTTTCGTGCGGCGGCACAGTTGACCCAAAACCCTCCACACACACGCACACACGTCTCAGTCTGAAGGACACTCAGAAGGCGGTTTTTATTCGTCGTTGTGGGTTTTTTTTTATTGCCTCTTCAAAAACAAAAACAAAAAGACTCTTTTGGTCAAAAACGAATTGCACCGGGTGAAGGAAGAAGAAGAAGAGAGAGAGAAAGAGGGAGGGAGAGAGGGAGGGAGGGAGGGGGAGGTGTGTGTGTGTGTGTGTGTGTCAAGGAAAACAACGCAACGCCACGAAAACAATGATGATGAAGTCGACGCATATGTCCGGAAAATGCAGCCAACCCGGCGGCTCGCACACAAAAAACGTATCACTGGCACGTGCCTGTGCGCGTCTGTGGGCCCTCCGTGCGTCACACGCACCGTGTGCTCCCCACCACCGCCACCACCACCACCGTATTCGCCGCATGCAAGGCTGTGCATTGCAGGCATCTAAACTTACCGTCCATACATATATATATATATATAGTTTTCCTTTGCTTTTGTTTTTGTACTTCACCTCACTCTTCTTTTCTTCTAAGGTCCCTCTTGTCTCCCCTCGAACGCTTCTCTCACCGTCCCTGCGGCCGTCCGCGCCGCTCAGGCAGACGCCACTGTGCCGATGGCGTCCACGTCCTTCTTCGCAAACTCGTGCGTCGTGAGCCCGACGCAGCTGAGGGAGGCGCTCGAGACGTCGACGACTTGCCGCAGCAGCTGCCGCAACTCCGCGTCTGTGACCGCCTTTGCATTGCGGGTCAACTCGCCCAGGTCTTCCTTGGGCCACACGACGCCGCAGTACAGTTCGGCTGGCAACCCCTCCGGGACGGGCAGCCGCGCCAACTCTGCGGCCAGCGTCGCGGGGTCGGACCCGGCGCGGACGTGCGCCCACCCCACGACGTTCTTGTCATGGAGGTGGCGCACGACGACCAGCTTGCGCAGGGAGGCGTTGGTGGCCTTGATGGCCTCCTCCACCGCCGCGAGGTACGGGGCATTCTGCAGGATGGCCGCCACGTTGAAGGAGCTGGCGACGCAGGTGTGCATCCAGTGCGGCACGGCCCCGCAGTCGGCGGGGCCCCTGCTATGGCGGCTCTCCGCTTTGAGCGTCTTCAACACGCGCCGCTCCTCCTCCATCAGCTCCGGAAGCAGCAAACAGGGGGAGCCCTCGCTCTTGAGCTCGGCGAGGACGGCGGCTGCCACACCCATGCGGGGCTGCAGCATACACACAACACGCAGCTTTTCCTTCACCTCCGCGTCCATCTGCCGCTGGAAGGCACTCACGCTCTCCTTCAAGGCAGCCAGCTCGAGCGCCTGCCGCCTCTTCAGCTCATCCAGCCGCTCGCGGTTCTTCTGCTGCAGCCGCTGCTCCTCCTTCTTCATCCGCTCGTCCTCGCGCTTGTGCACAAGCTGCTGGCGGCACAACCGCTCCTGGTGCGCCAGCAGCTCCCGCCCCGCCTGCTCCAGCAGCAACAGCTGGGCGAGCTGCTGCGTCTTGGGCAGCACCCGCAGCGCGGGGACGTCCTCGCGCCGCCGCTGCAACTCCTTCAGGTACCGCGCCGTGCCGTAGGAGTACTGCGGGGACGACGTCGCGCTCAGGTCCGTCATCCGCCCCGTCACCGAGGCGTAGGCGCCGCCGCCGTTGGTCCTCGCCGTCGCCGTTGGTGACGCCGCCGACGCCTGACGGGGCTCCGCGCTGCCGCTGCGCGGGGAGGAGGAGCTGCCGATGCGCTCCAGCGAGACGATCCCGTTCATTTTGTTTTTGTCGTTTTTTTTTTCAACAAAAACAAAAACAAAACAAAACAAAACTCAAAGCCAATCAAACCGCAAAGCCGCCTCCACCCGGTGGAGCTCCACTCTGCTCTGCCCTCGCGCACACTCTAACGCAGCCGCGGAAACGCACCGCACAAACGCCACGCTTAAGCTCACCGCTCCCTCGCCACTGCGAAGCAGCAGCAGCAGAAGCAAAAGCAAACAAAAACAACGAAAAACAAAAAAAAGAAAGAATACACAGACGCACGACACTAACGGCACAAGAAGTCACGCAAAGGCACACACGCGCCACCAAAAGAAGCTGGCAACAAACAGAAACGAAAAAAAAACACACACAGGGCTGAAGATTAAATATGTACCACACGAAGGACGAAGCAACAACAAAAAGAAAATAAAAAAAGTAACAAAAAGTTCCAGGAAAGAAAAAAACATTCCATTTAAACCAAAAAAAAACAAATCGAACATCCAAACCACGGGCGCACATACCTTCACACCTCCCCAATAACATCGCGGAGAGAGGGAAAAAAACACATACGAAATTCACCTAACAAACTTCCCCTCACCTTCCTCCTTGCGTTTTTGGCTACAAAATAGTAAACGTATATTACATAACAATCATACATTAGTTGGGGAGGACGGCGAGGGGGCCGACGGCGCGGCGGCGGCCGCGACGCTGGCAGGCGCGCATCACTGCGTGATCTGCTGCACCGTCTTGCCACGGTACTGCTGGCTCTGCAGCGTCTTGGAGCGCTTCAGCTCCTCGCGCTCCGCCGCAATCTTCACCTCCTCCTGCTTCGCCAGATGGGCGCGGTACTCGACCATCTTGCTGCGCCGCGTCAAGTTGCCGTCCTCCACCTCCTCGGCAGGGTGGACGAACTCGATGCCGGCCTGGTTCAACGCGTCCTCGGTGGGGCCAAACATCTCCAGGGCCTGCGCCATCTTGTCCTTCAGCATCTCCAGCTCCTCCTCCACCTGCGCACGCAGCTTGTACAGCTC